AAATTGGGAAATCTGTTAAAATATTTTAATGTAAAGCAAAATGTATAGCCATTATAATGTTACAATGTTTATATAATCATACAGATATCGACTGATATCTACCTACAATCAGAAAACAGAATATCAATAACACTTACATGAATGTAATTCTCCTTATTTTCATGCAGGTTTGTACCTGCTTATTATGAAAGCTGAGCAACAGCTAAATCAGCTAAGTCTTTTGTTGTTGCTGAGATGGTGAAAAAAGTCACAAACTAAACGAAGTCCTTTGTGTCGCCACTAAAAGATGTCGGATTTATCATCCGAACAGGGTCCTGAGATCAGAAGCACGTGATCCAGACCGATCTCTCCGCTTACTGACCTCCCACGCTCGGCCTCAAAGATGATCTGAAGAAACAGTCAAACCATTAATAAATATACTGTAATAAGCTGGAGAACATAAAAAATATCAAAACAAGATCTGGGTCAAACAATTAGACACATTTCAAAACCCAATCGATAACTTGTTTGTAACTTGTTCAAAAAAAGTCAGCATATGCTAATATTTTCTTAATATTTTTGTCATGTTTTCTACACTGTTAAAAAAAAATCTGTAAGAATATGGCATAATGTACAGTATTGATACTTAATATGAAGGAATTGTGCATTGCATTGTGTTGTGTTTAGTGTTGAAGAACATCTCTGTAAGCTTAAATTAATAGGTACTATTCTCACTGTCTGTTTTCCTATGGATTTTTAAAAATATATTGTGTCATAAAAAAAAAGGAAAAAAGTTGCAAAGTAATATTGCCCAATTATCTGTGTGTATAATATTTAAGATTATTTTATTTGTTTCATATTGTACTATTAATTATTTAATCGCTTTAATGTTTTATGTATACAATAATTCCAACATATCTATTTATTTTGCACTAATAATTTATTTTATTATTTAATATGTATTATTTTATTTAAATTAGAAGTCATTTTTACGTACACTACTACATACAAAGGTATTAATATTTATGATTATTTTATTCATTTCTGAGTATACTGCTATTTCAGTCAGCCACTGTAATATTTTAAATATTGATGTAATTAATATTTATTTTGTACTACCAATATTTTACTTAAATTAGAGGTCTGTTTTTCTACGGATTTAGCTTTTACTGTGTTGGCTGACAAACTCTTGAAAATAGAGTATTTCAGCTTCTCTCGGTAAATCAGGGAAAGCCCTCACTAGAAAGTGAATATCTGAAGAAGAGAAGGATCTTGCCTGTGCTTTCAGACTCTCGTGTGTTGTTAGGAGAGCATGAGAGAGAGTGCTGCTGATGAAAGACAGTCTAACAGCTGTTCTGACGCAGATAATAACAGGCTTGAGCCCTTTCCGGCTGTTTCTCCCTCTAGGAAAAGAGCGCTGGAAGATGTTTCTTAAGGCAGAGGGGAATTTTCTCCCCGGTGTCTTGGGCTTGTCTCCTCTTGTCGGATCTCGAACATGAGTCGTGTCGAGAGGTTTAGAGTTTCTAAGACATGTCCTTTCATTGTGTTAAACATGGTTATTATTCCTGCAGAAATAAATGCAATTATGAGATCTGATGATGAGATTTGAGGTCTTTCATCTAATATTTTATTTCAGATTTGATAGTTTTAGTTTTAGTTTCCAATAACAAAACTACATTGTGCATTTTTTTGGGTTAGTAGTTTTTTGGAAAAGCATCTTTAGTTTTTTATTTATTTTTAGTTTTAGCCATTTTAGTACTTCAACTTCATTTCGGTTATTTGCAGTTAGTTTTTTACTTAACATTTGGATTTTTTTATATTATTATTATTTCAGATTTCACAGAACAACAAAAAAAAGATTTTTAATAGTTTTAGTTTTAGTTGTCACTAGCAAAAACATAGCAAATTTTTTTTTAAATCCTATTCTTAAAACAGTTTATTTAAAATAAAGTAAATAGCCTCCCAAGTTTTTTTCTTCGTCTTCAACCAATGGCGTTTGTGTTTCTTCTCCTGCGGGTCACAGAGCTTCAGCGTTATTGATCGCTCTACGCCTCGGCTCTTCACTCATCTATTGTCAGCTGGACTCTATAGAAGCACTGCTGTTTCTCCATTAGTCAACAGTCTGTCTTTGCCACTAAACTGAGTGTTTTGGGACAGTCATACTACACTTGTGTTTCATTCACTTCCGTTCATATGCATGTGAACGAAGAAGATCAGGTTCACCAGCAAACTCTGACATGTGAATCACAGACTGACCCATAAAATTCTACATGATAGATAATTTATTTTATTTTATTTTAATTCAAATTTAATTTAATTTAATTTAATTTAATTTTAATTTAATTTAATTTAATTTAATTTAATTTAATTTAATTTAATTTAATTTAATTTAATTTAATTTAATTTATTTTATTTTAAATACCTTTTTTTGTGTATTCAAAACATGGTTATTATGTTAACTAAAACCATAAAAAAGTGAAAAAAGAAAGAAAGAAAGAAAGAAAGAAAGAAAGAAAGAAAGAAAGAAAGAAAGAAAGAAAGAAAGAAAGAAAGAAAGAAAGAAAGAAAGAAAGAAAGAAAGAAAGAAAGAAAGAAAGAAAGAAAGAAAGAAAGAAAGAAAGAAAGAAAGAAAGAAAGAAAGAAAGAAAGAAAGAAAGAGAAATCACTTGAAAATTACTTGAAATGAAATAGACATTGCTGGAAAGTGAAAATTAATTTCTTATTTTCATTTGGTTAAAGTACTAAAATAAACTAAAACGCAAATACAAATTATTCAAAAATTACATATTTAAAAAAAATAAGAATGTAAAATTTAAAAGTTTCATATAGTTAACTAAAAACAGACCCATAAAAACATTTTGTCACTTGAAATAAAAAACATTTGAACTTAAATTAAATGAATGAATGCTTTTTTTATTTTAGCTAGTTGCCATTTCTCATATTCATTAGTTTAACTTGATGTACGAAAAATAAATAAATAAATAAATAAATAATAAATAAACTAAGCTAAATAACAATAATACAATTATTTAAATTATTTTTTTTATTACATTAAAAACAAATATTACTAAAAGCTAAAATTATCCCAATTTCAACTGAAATCTAAAAGGAAATGGAAAACTACACATATTAACAGTATTTCAAAGATAATAAAATAACATTGAATCAAAAGATGTAGATTCCTAAAATTGAATTAAGGTGGAGTGGAATTAAATTAGAATGAGGTTTTTAACAACAATTTCATTTTTCAGTATAAATTATGTTCTTATCCATTCGACATATTAAAGGTCCCATGGCATGAAAATGTCACTTTATGACTTCCTCCTCTTCCTCTTCATAAAACTTCTCCTCCTCTGGAAACACAGGTTTCTGCTCCGGAGGGCCGATGTAGACCTCGCCGTCGTAGTCGAAGGGCTGCAGGTGGAGTCGTGGAGATCCGGTCACCACAGGCTCGGGGATGGTGTTGTCAAACTTTCCTCCCAAAATGCGAGTTTTGGAGGGGAAATCAGGAATAGCTGCAGGACACAGAAGATGGAATTAAATGCATGAGAAACCTGGAATGAAATCTTGTATGCTGATGTTGAATGATGTTTTGAAGCCATTAAAAGTCAAAAATGCATATACGGAGTCTGTTTATTTGATCCATGCAATCGCAGCATTATTGCATTAATCATTTAATGTGCTTTATATACGCCATAACTGCATCTATGGATATGTATGAGGCTTTTTCATGCAAAGTGCATTTGTTGTGCATGAAGCCATTCGCAAATGTCAATAATGCAGTTGCATGGTAACACTTTACATTAAGGTTTCAATATTAGTTAACTAAATTAGTTAACATTAGTGCATTATATATATATATATAGTCCACTCCTATAGGTATCACATTAACTATTGCATTAATAAATGAGACTTTATTGTAAAGTGTTACCTGTTGCATTTGCAAAGCATTAAATAGGTTGCCAAAGCAGACGTTTCCTCTTAATGCTGATGTTTGCCTGTTGTTTTGTACCACAAAAGAATGTTTTCAGAAATCACATCAAAGATCAGAGCTTAGAGGAAACGTCCTTCTGCACATACAGCCACTGAACGTTTGCTCTGCATCGCTCAACTTTCTCACCGTTGAGAAACACTTGCGCATTTCCTTTCTCACCTTCCCAGGATCTGTGATAAAAAGGCTTGACTACAAAAACACAAAGGATTCGATTCACATGAGTTAAATGATGTTGCTCAGAGGTCAAAGTTCAGGAGACTCGCTGAGATCTCAGTTCAGTTTAAAGAAACAATTCACCCAAAATAAAAATGTCCTCACTCTCAGGCCATCCATCATGTAGATGAGTTTGTTTCTTCATCAGATTTGGAGAAATGTGTCATTCCATCACTTACTCAGCAATGGATGCTCTGCAGTGAATGGGTGCCGTCAGAATGAGAGTCCAAACAGCTGATAAAAACATCACAATAATCCACACCACTCCAGTTTATCAGTTAACATCTGGAGAAGACAAAAGCGGAAACAAATCCATCATTAAGATGATTTTAACTTGAAACCATAACCATAATCCATAATAACACTTCCTCCGGTGAAAAAGTGCATCTTCTGTTGTCTCTCACATCAAAATCGCAGCTGATAAAAACATCACAATAATCCACACCACTCCAGTTTATCAGTTAACATCTGGAGAAGACAAAAGCGGAAACATATCCATCATTAAGATGTTTTTAACTTGAAACCATAACCATAATCCATAATAACGCTTCCTCTCATTTTGGACTCTCATTCTGACGGCACCCATTCACTGCAGAGCATCCATTGCTGATA